AAATAATTGTCGGTGACTTATTGTCGGTGAAATGTTATGTCTACGAAATGACCGTCGGTGAAGTGATACGTATCCAAAAAAACACATGAGGGTCGGTATATACTCACAAAAGACAAATTACAATTTTATGTTATTTTTATTAAAAGCATCAAGAATAAAATTTTGTTTACTGAAATTGAGGGCCTTCCATATAAGCGGTAGAATGCTGGGTGCATTATTTTTAGAAAAATAATTTATATAGTAAATTTTTATATTGAGAAAATTTCCCAATATTTACTTTTTTCTTTAGAAAATTTACTTAATTGCTCAAATTTTTACGCGTTAATTATATATACTTCATGAACGTTTAATGCAAGACCAATTTTATTCTGAACCCATTTTTTTCCGAAATTTTAGTTGGACTATTAAAATTAATTTTATTTATTTTAGCAAAAATATGTGCAAATATTAGTGATGCTTAATAACTCGAAGATTTTCAATCAATCGGTGGGAAATGAAAAAATTTGCGAATAATCATAATGCTTCTTGTTTATCATAAAAACCGGAAATTGTTCAGTTTTAATTAACTAAATAATTAGATATAACAGGCATTGTAATAATATTCCGTTATCAATTATGTTATAATATAATGTTTTTAATTAAATTAAATTTAAATTATAAAACCTAAATATTTATATTTTGTCCTAAAAGGTATATTAAGATGATTCACTGTATTCGCAATTACATGTTTAAATTTTAAAATCTGCTTTTCAAAACTTGAAATACTTAAATTCATCAATTAAAGATTTATAATATCATCACTAAGCCGTTTTTCATAATATTGAATCATGTCCATAATTTGTTTATTAATAATTTACCAAAAAATATTTTAAGAATAAAATTTCTCAGTAACCAAGTAAGACAAATGCAATTGAATTAATCAAATTACATTTTTGAAAATGTGCTTTACAATGCTAGAATGCTAGATTATGAGTTAGGAAGTTGATTTAACTTCATTAGTATAACTTTGATTCTAGCGTGAAAATACAAGGCTTCTTTAAAATTTAAAAATTTTAGAAAGTTATACTTAATAGCAAAACTGATATAAAATCGACTCAGATGCTTCTGCTAATTTTAATTCAACTCAAAATGAATAAAGCTCCTTTTGTATAAGAATTCGCATTTGAATTATAATATTATAAAAAGTATAAATAAATGTCTCTTCAGAAAATTATAAAGTAATCCCATTTTTTGTGCAAAAATTAATGGAAGCTTCTAAATTGCCATCTACAGCTCTTCTAAGCCAATATTCACCTTTCTTTTTGTCGGCATCAACATACTTGCCATTATAATATAACAATCCTAAATTATGCATCGCAACTGTATAATTTTGTTCAGCTGCTTTTTCAAAATATTCTATCGCCATGTACGGATCTTTTTTATAAATACATGAAGCGTACATAAATTGTGCATCCCGAGTATTTGCACCATCAGCAGCTTCTTTAAATGCATCAGTAGTAAGCTGCATTCTTTCATCATCAGAGTATGGAAAGTCAATTAATTTATAAAAAAGATAATATCCTTTCCAATATTTTGCTGTAAAATCATTATCCGTTTCTGAATATTTAGCAATTGTTTTCCAAGATCTTTCTTTAGAATCTTTAGAACCACTCTTAAGATTTGTAAGCTCAACTGCTTCTTCAAATGATAACATCGGTAGATCACTATCTGATTCTGACGCGTTGTATTAATCGATCTATTTATGATTCTAATTTTCCAAAGTATTTCATTCATTTCTGGACGGTCTTTGGCTCTGTATTGAGTAGCTTAGAAAAATTATATATGAGTTAATAACATTGAGTGAAATTGCGAAATATGCCCGAATTAAAATTAAATTAACAGTACCTTCATAGACGAGACTTTTCCATTGTTCTGGTACATCATTATTTGAAAATTTTAGATTCATCGCTCTGTCTAATATTAATTGACTTATTTCGAGTGCAGAAAGCCCAGTGTCAGACAAAGGAAGCTTTTGTTCTGCAAGCTCCCATAAAAGCATTCCAAAGCTATAAGGTCATTTAAGTAAATAAGGTTTTATAATATTAAATATTCTAGGCTTCTTGAGAATAATTAATTACCTGAACACTTCGCATTTTGAATTATGTCGCAATTTGTCATCTTTAATCTTTTCAGGAGCCGTGTATCGAATGATTTCCATGAAGGAAGATCTAATACTTGTACTAACAGGTCCTTTGAAATCGCGACTCCATTCGAAATTTGTAATTTTTGCATGTTCGAGATAATCAACTGATACATTTTCACTTCGAACATCATGATGAAATATTTTATACGTATTAAGGTAATTTAATCCACGTGCAATTTCCAAAGCAAGTCTCGCTCGGATAGTGATATCAGGGTTTTTCATTTCATAATATTCACGCAGTGTTCCGTATTCAGCCCATTCAGTAACGAGAAATTGCTGAGAATTAATTGTAACAAGGCCGATGTATTGAATAATATCTTGTGATCCATTAATAGTTTTCAAAATTCCAATTTGAAGATCAAGTCTACCTGACCTTTTTATTTTAAATTCTAATTCCTTAAGCGCTACATACTCGCCAAAAGGCTTGTAATGCCAGTTTCGAATTCTGCCACGAGCTTGTGTTTGTTCATCAATAATGAAGTCATCAGGATCAAGAATTGCACTCGTACTAATTTCTTTACGGATAAGATCTTGCTTTTTTGGCTTGTCATATGCATCTTTATTTCGTATGAAATTTTCAACATTCTGTATATGCATGTTAATTTTTTGTAGTAACTCATTGTCACTTAATTTGATCTCTTTTATTTTATTTATTTGTTCTTTATTAGTACTTTCTATAATCGATCGTAGATACTGTTTTAAAAAAAATTTTTTTTAAGTTACTTTATATATACTGTAAAACATAATACAAAGCATGAATATTTACCTCTTTCATCTCATCAGTGTCTTTATTTATTAAGTCAATATTTTTTGCTGATATTTCGATGGGTATTGAAAATTTTAATAATTTCATATATTCATCGAATTCATTTATAAGTCCATAAAATTCATTTTTTATAAAATTTGGTTCAAAAAATAATCGGTAATTGTGGATATCTTGAACTTTTCTAATGAATTCTTCAAATTTTCTAATTACATGTTTAAAATTCCGTAAAATTATATTATTTTTTAAAGTAAAAAAATCAATGGATTCAGGAAATTCATTCGCACAAATTTCTAAACTGCTTATTGACGCACGGGCTGTCTGCTGTCTGTATTCTGATCATTAGCACACCACAAATTCGTCTACTATACTTTACATTTTGGTAAAATTCTGCGAGTTTATCAGCAACTTCTACTATTTCTCTTAACAAAGGAATGAATTTGCTGGCTGGAACATTATAGTTATCTTCAGACATTCTATAACGTATGCAAATTACGTATCAAGTATAGCGATAGTTTATAGTTATTGTATGGGTATGTAGTGAATAACCCAGTTACACACGGGTTCATATTCCGTGCCGAAGGCACGGGAT